TCCCTGTTAAGTTCAGAGAATCACAGCATGGCATGTTCTTTATAAATGAATATGATCACTTCACACATATCCCAGCTTCAGTATTCATTGCCCCTCAAAATGGAAACAACCTGCAAAAGGTGCAATATTGCCTAACCGCCCAAGGCAAAAAGGGTATCAAAAAGGAGTAGAAAATGGCATGTACCTCTAAGTTACTATCAAAGAACTTTGTTTCAGGATCCTGTTCTGCTGGCCACTTGTGGCCTTGTGTTCCCATTGCTGCATGAGAGTACACGTGAATAATGAGCCAGGTCCCTTCCAGCCCTTAATTGCTATGGTTTCTATGGTGGCTATGATTATGCAGTACTGTGCATGAACTCCCATGAAAGGTGAAAATGGTGTTGCCCTCAGGGAGAAGTTGTAGCTATGGCTGGATTTGGGGACTGTGTACAGATGTTCTGACTCTCAGCTGTGGGAACTCAGATTCAATTCCAGTTCAGAGGAGTAGGGTCCACCTCTCTAAAATAAATGTATACAAAGTCTAGTACAGGGGCAGGCAATTATTTTGGGCAGAGGGCCACTTACTGAGTTTTGGCAAGCCATCGAGGGCCACATGACAGGCAGCCCAGGGCAGATAAATATTCATTTTCTAAATTTTTTAGGGGCCCCGTGGGCCAGATAGAGTGGCCTGGCGGGCCGCATCAGGCCCCCAGATGGCATTTTGCCCACGCTTGGTCTAGTAAAATGGGATTCCAACTGGTGAGCATCAGGTTTTCGAAAGTACCTAAGTTAGGCACTTGGCTTCCATTGGAAGTCAATGGGAGTGAGGTCCCTAACTAATATAGCATCTTTTACAAATCTTACTACTGTTACTGCAAGCCCTTGAACACAACGTCTCCCATTCGTGAACCTGTGCAAGTTCTCTCTCATGCAGTCAGAAACCTCTCCTGATTAGCAAATGATTGCAGAGGATGTCCCAATAGTGGAAATAGCCAGATTTCCAAGAGCCTCTTATAGAAGTAGGTATATCAACAGCTACCTTATAGCCCCGGTAATGCAGACATTTTATACACTGGAAAGGTTGGTTTGTCTACCTTTGAAGCCCCATTCACACAGCTGTGCTACCTTTTAGGACGTGTTCTTTCTTCAAATTAAGTTATGGATCAGTAAGTGGGCCAGTCTCACCCAGCACTTATCTCCCACAGCTTCCATGGCCAGGCTTTTTACACTGAACACAGAAGTCCCCCTTTCTTTTCCATTTCGCTTTGTGGCCCTGTCTTGTTGACTTTCACAGTTTGCTGACTGCTGTGACCCAGCAAAGTCTGTTTTTCCCCTTCACAATCACTTAAAGAAATGTGTAGTGTCTTGTTTGCTGTATTACCAAATGGATCTAAGAGCCTTTGGATAATACAGAATGCTTCTTGTCAAGCTGGCCTCAGGAAGATTTCAAAAAAAGAGAATCATCAGAAATATTAACCTTTTCAAGGAACTTTTTCAGGGACACATAAAACCAACTGAAGCCAAGAAATTCTGACTAAATATTGCCCTATTGCCCCATCTTATTTGAATTTTTAAATGGATTTGTTTCAAGTGTGATCACAGTCGCATCTAACTTGACTGCTTTTCATGAAAGCATTCAAACACAAGCATTATGAGATCCCAGAGGGGAGATCTTCAAAGACAGGATAGAAGGGACTGCCTGATTTTCTGGGGAGTGGGATCCTTTTTGTTCCCTGGACAACAGTAGTGCAAGCCTTGGGTGCTGAGTTAAGGGGGTGCAAAAACAGAGCTGCTGCCACTGCCAGCTCACCCAACACATTGGCACTGACCTGGCCACTGCCACCACCTTTGCTGCCCCTGCTGTCCAAGGGACAGCACCTTCTTATTACCCCTCTGCTTAACAGCCTTGTTTCGTCATTGCAAGAAGACCATTTTAACCAAAACCATAGAATCACAGAAAAGTAGGACTGGAACAGACCTCCAGACATCATCTAGTGCAGCCCCCCGCTCCAAGCAGGATCATCCCTGTTCCAACCAACTCATACAAGTCCTTGCCTAACCTATTTCTAAAACTACACATTCAACCCTGGCACACCACTACAAGGCCCATTACCCAAAGACACCAAATGCATCTGAACCTGCCAAAGGTACAGTAAGGAAACAATGGCAATCAGTGTCCTATCACTGCAAGAGTCGTTACCGTGCAAGCGTGCCACTGCAAGAGTCGTTACCGTGCAAGCGTGCCACTGCAAGAGTTGTTACCATGCAAGCATGCCACTGCAAGGGTTGTTACCGTGCAAGCGTACCACTGCAAGAGTTGTTACCATGCAAGGATGCCACTGCAAGAGTTGTTACTGTGCAAGCGTGCCACTGCAAGAGTTGTTACCATGCAAGCATGCCACTGCAAGAGTTGTTACTATGCAAGGATGCCACTGCAAGAGTTGTTACCATGCAAGAGTTGCCAACTGCAAGAGTTGTTACCATGCAAGGATGCCACTGCAAGAGTTGCCAACTGCAAGAGTTGTTACCAATCAAGGATGAGGATTGTGCCCCCCACTAAAGGAAGGCAAACCCAATCTGACCATGGGGTAAAATTCTTTCCTAATTTCAAATGTGGTGACTGGTCTGACGTTGAGTGGACTGGGCAACTCCTGAAAACTTCAGGTTGTAGTTCCAGCAGAAACATTGCCACAGCTCAGTCAAAATCCCTAGTGCAAATAGTCTCAAACTTCAGACTCAAATATTTGTCACCAGGGCAGTACAGAACCTGAATATGGAGGTACCTCCAACCATGGGTACTTTGGAAAAAAGGTAGATATGTAACATGCAGTATGGTCAGTGCTTGCACAGAAGTTGGCCGGTGGCAAGCTTCTTGGAGCATGGACTGTGTCCTTCTCTATGCCCAGCAAAAGGTAGTGCTGACCCTGTTGGGTTCCTGAAACATTGCCCTAACACAAGCAATAAACTCTTTGCCATATCAGAGCAAGGAGTTTATTGCTTGTGTTATGGCAATGTTAGGGACTCTCTCTATGCAACCCGTTTATGCGATGGAAATGACATGAGTCAGGCTATGACTTTGTCACAACAGTCACAGAAACCGTGAGTTGGAAGAAATTCCATGACTGTCATGGTGAACCCTTCACACAATTACATGGGGAAATACGGAGGGTGGGGCATAGGATCATGGGAAATGTAATTCAGTCAAGGATGTTGACTTAGCAAAAAAGGAAGGGGGTCATTAGCCTTCCAAACTGCTGCTCCAAAGAGGCAATCCTTCTCCATAGGGAAATACACATGGCAAGGTGGTTTTCCAGCAGTTCTACGCAAGCAACAAGTGACCTTGGTAGCTCCGCTATGAATGCTGCTCCCCCCCCACCATTTCTTTGCCATTGAATTTATGAACTATTACCACAATAAAAGCATAACCTCAAGCATGAGGTTAACTGGTATTTCTAAATCATGCCAGAGACGGTAGGTGCCAAGTTTTAACGACATATCCATTTAACAGTAATTGAGATCAAACCAACAGGAGGGAAAACTTAGTCCGTTCACTGAAAGTCTACACAGCTTGTACAAACATTTTGCTCATGTGAGGAGCTCTACCAAAATCTATGGGACTCATGCATGAGCTTTGATTGAAGCCGGGGTGCAGATCTCAAGCTGAAGAAACAATGGTTAATACTTCTGCATTTGCCATACAGAACTCAACAGCATGGCTTTGCTGGGAACACGCAGTGACACTTCCTAGTTAAAGGAAGTCATCTTCAGCTGGTGGTTTATCCTGCCTTCAAATCCACATGAGGAGCTAACTCTGTATGTCCACAATTGGCAATAAAGGTTGTTATGTGCCTGCTATAGGGAACAGTGTCATCTACAGAATGGCTATGGATAGACTCAAAATGCTGGGGAAAAACCCCTGTGAGCAGCAGCGATTCTGCGTCTCCAGGACCTGAAAGACTTATCCAAGACAGTAGAAGACCAAGGAATAGACAGCTGCGCTCCTGACTTCCAAGTCCTCCAACTCAATGAATGGCAATACAGTCTCTCGCCGATAAAGTAAGATATGGGCTCACACGGTTTTTAAACGGATTGCTAACCTGAGTAAAGCCCCTGGGCCTGATTTTCATAAATGCTGAGTACAGGCAGCTCCTACTTAAGTTGAAAGCAACTGTAAATGTTCTGAATCTGGAAGAACCAGCCTCTGATGGACTAACCTAATCTCCTACATTGTGGTCGTTTAGAGTAATTTGTGTGCAGGGAAGGGACACATGGCATATTCACAACGGCCTTCCCTGAAAGGTTAATTTAAGGACTCTTTCTATGCACAGTTGATTGAGATTATGAAATAGCTGTATTATGCCATGTCTCAGCGGATGGGAAGTCAGCCATCTGCTCTCAGGTCAACATCACTCATCCCCCAGCCCCGGGATAATGACGGGGTGCTAAACGTCAGTGGATCCCATTAAAATAAGAGCACAGGATGTTGAAGTCCAGGGAGCCATAACCTGGCCAAATCTGTCTGAAGAGAGAGGTCTTGGGATAATGAAATTTATCCACAAGCAGAGCTAAGAGATCCAGAGCTGGCACCAGGGCTTGGAAAACCAGTCTGAAAGACACAAGACCTCAGAGGGCCTCACAGAGACGGAGGAGGCTTGGACGCTGGTGAGGAAGAGAAGGGTGCACTATTGCAGAAAATGGCATAAATTTAGAAGTGAGGTCAGCCAAAGTAGGAAGGAACTGGCTGCATAAGAGTGAGAGAAAGAGAGACAGAGTCAGAGAAGTCAGGCATGGCTGGAAATCCTGAGCTCCTGAAATCCTGGAAATCCTGAGCACCTTCAATCTACTATGAGTCCTGATGGAGCTCCTTAGAGTCTCGTCTGAGTCTGAAGATCACCCCAGAGTGGTAGGGTATCTAAAGCAAGGGGAAGGCATGCAGGTGCCTATTTTTTTTTTTCCAGATCCATGATTTTTTTGTGCTAGCTCCAGCAAAGAAAGGACAGGTGCCTGGGACCCTCCTGGAGCCTGTGAGTCTATTGGCTGCAACTCTCATGTGTCCATGAAGAGCTGAACTGCAAGCAGAGCGTGACCACCAGGCTGGTGCTCCGGGAATAGAGTTGCTTAAGCTACTGAAAGAGGATGGAGGGTCATCAGTGAGTGCGTCTACACATTCATTAATGCACCTTAATTACTGCGCATTTAGTCTAGTACTTCTTTAATGAAGTAATAACTATCACCCTACCCAAGGGTTGGCTCTGACTAGAGTAGCACCAGCGCACAGTTGTTTGTGTTGCTGACTGCGCATTACCCTAATAACAATGCTCAGTAGGCTATTAGCACGGTTTTTAACCACCACACTACTGCACAGTGTTATTAGGCTAATATGCAGTAAGAGTCTCATGTACATGCGCCCACTTGGTAGGGTGGGTAGGGTAGCTGAGCCTCAGTCTCCCACTTCCACGAAGACATAATGGACAGAGAGCCTGTACCCAGGATGTGTACCAGGAAGGCTAAGAAATGGGACTACAACAGGCCAAGAGAGGATTAAGAGTTCACATGTCCAATATGGTGAGACTCCATCACCGCTACCGGGTGAGTGTCCAGTTCAGGGAGCCTTCCAATGTTAAGACATCAAAGCCTACCGAAGTCCAAGGAGCTGCAAAGATGACAGCACCTCTGAAATCAAAAGGCCCTGACCTCATGGGGAATAAAACACTGGAGACAGACCGTTAACCAACAACACCCAACATCTGGAAGAGTTCAGAGCTGGTGGACATCTTCCATGTTCCTTATTCCCCTGCCTCCCTGGAAAGCACTGTGAGATATTTGAGGTCTTGGGTGCGAGGCCACTCTAGGGGCACAGATCACTATTATTAAACATATTTCCTAGCTCCATTATTATTAAATTCATTCTCTAGCCCTTAGCTCAGAAAGGACATGACAGCAGAGGATAGAAAGCATAGGATGAAAGTCTGTAGAGAGTCCTCACATGAGCCAAAGGACTTCAGCAGCCCTGAGGCACCGAGTGGGACCTGTCGCCTTCCCACTCCATTAAAGATCTGCTGCCTGGTGCAGTATCAACATTTCTTTTGACACATCTTGAGTTGGCTGTCCCATGGAGGGGCAGCTTATTAATACAGGGGTGCTTAATGCAGATGAGGGACTAGTTAATTTTTTCTGGATGCTTTTAAATTCTCAGGCACTTGCATCCGAGCTTTCTTGTGGGCCTTACATTCACGGGAGGAAGGTAGGTTAAGAGTCAAGCAGGGGGAATATTTTCCCTTCCTCTGTTTCATACCGGGTTAGGTTTCTGACAAGGCATTAAAAACCCCAGTCAACTTTTATTTTCCTCCTGCCTTCAAAACCCTTGCGTCCATCTCCCAAAGATCTGCTCTGGCTGAGTTGACATGCCTTTTTTTTTTCATTCCCCCCCACTTCTTTTTCTCTCTTCTTTTTTTTTTTTCTCACTTGAATGCCATCAGACAGCCTCTGCACGATTAAATCCCTCTGTAGCCTGGGAGATCAGCCCCCTTTTCCTAATAAAAATTAATTTATTATGATCCTGGGAGTTGGAATTAATCTGCCTCTGGAGAGGCCGGCTCTGGCAAGGCCTGGTGCATGTGGGAAGCAGAGGGCTCCAGAAGGCACATTAACGGCATTGTAATGCTTAATGCTCTGTAGCCGAAACATCTGCTAATTTAATGCAAGAGCACACAGCTGCCTCCGACAGTTCCTAAGGAGGAGTGGGGACTTGGATGCAAGGGCGGGGGAGGCCTGGGAAGAGGAGGGCTATGACTCTTTCTAAAGCTCTTACCAGCCTATCCCTTTTAATTACAGTGTTCGCCAGGGATCTCGCAAACGCAGCTCTCTAGAGGACCCGACTGCGGCAAGGCTCCTTGCACATTTGTAATGTGGATGGGGTCTATGCATCATTCGCCTTCAGCCCTGGTAAGCTGGAGTTTGAAGGAGAAACCCAACCAGCACCCAAGCAAAGAGCTGCCCCGTCCAAATAAATGGTCCCAGCCACAGCAAAGGGGCGAAGCGGCTGTTATTGCTTTCTCTTCCAAGCTGCTGCATGGCAGGCATGGGGAAGCCTGCATATCCCATCCCAGGTGAGGAATAGGTGGGCGTATAGATCATACCTGTGGCTTTGGCTTTATTTGGGATACAGAGGCTCTATCCGTTTGCTCAGCACTGTACCTAGACTCCTGGTGGCCCCTGGCAAAATTTGAGTATTGTCCACCCCTTCACCAGAGATGATGATGATGATAACTTTAAAATGATCATTTTTGGCCTTCCTTTCTGTCCAGGCCCCAGGTAGCCACCCCGTTCTCCCATGCCTGTGTCCGGCCCTGAGTTTGCCTGAAGCCGCAGCCTCGCACAAGCTGCTTCTGAAGAGTGGTTTCTTCTTTTGCCAAGTGAGAGAGGGAACAAAATGAACCTTATGAGGAAGGTTCCCCAGTTATGGAGAGGTAATGAAAGGTAAGCTGTTCTGCAGGGGCAAAGAAACAGCATCTGTTTCGGGTCCCTATGACTGGCAGAATAGCTGAGCTGGGTGTTGCTAGCTCAGATAGATGCCCATGCATACGGTCGGCTGCGTGTAACGCCAGACCCCTTAGACACACAGACTGCTTGCTCAGGATACAATGTCCTCCCTTGGCATGACGTCCTACAGCTGGGGTTTCGGGAGGAAAGGGCTTGAGTTGCAGCACGTGGGAGCCCAATCCTGATCTCCATCAGGAGCGACTGCACCGCCATCAACTAATTGACGCAGGGAAAGGTGAAGTAAGAAGAGAGTCTGGCCCCAAATCAAGATAACGACCTGCCCCACCTCTCTGACAAAGACCCATGGTGTCGTGGCTAGGTGGCTTTGTCCTGTTCTAGCTACGGCGTTGGGCGCAACATTCATTGAGGTCATTGGGCAACCAGAGCGGGTTTGCCCTTAGCTTTCTTCAGTGGTTGAAATGTCTTCATGTCATAGTTTCATAGTTGTTAGGGGCTGGAAGGGACCTTACAGATCATCAGGTCCAGCTCCCCTGCACTTGGGCAGGAAAGACAGATGAACCCAGCAAGATGGGCGTCAAGGCGTGTCCCCTGAGCTGAACTCAGCATCATCGATTTCATCGTTATTGGGGAACCCTTTAATCATCTAGTCCAACCCCCTGCATAATCCCAGCTAAAGAAAGTGACCCAGTGGTGGCTGTATCAAGCCCATGACTCCTGGTTCCAGATATCAGTAACAACAGCATCCGGGCCTGATTAAAGGCTCTTGGGGTGTCCAGCGCACTCCAAGAGGTTGGAAGCTCCTCGGGTTTGTTAAGGTAGTGACACAACAGCATGTGTCGGAGGGCTCCCCGTGGCTTTGCTCTGCACGTCATACAGAGGATGCCTGGGGGTTTCCAGCTCGGGATCAAGAGGTGTCTGGGTGCTACAAACACTTTGTTCTTCTCATATCCCTATGCAGGAGGAAGCTCTAGCTAGGCATCAGAAGGGTGTCGGGGTAAGCCAGGGCGGTTCTGTTACCAAACCCTCCGTGTTATGGTAGTCTTAGAGTGATGTTGTAGCCATGACGGTTCAAGTATAAGACAGGCCAGGGTTTCTGGAGGGGGGGGTTGATATCTTTAATTGGGCCAACTGTATAGTTGGGGTAAAGTGAGACAAGCTTTTGAATGCAAAGCATTCTTCAGGTCACTCCATCATGGTTAGGTCACCTACCCCGTTGTCTACAAGGAAGATGACCCCACGCGTGAATGCCCACGGTCCTGCCCTTTAGAAGTGCTAGGCATCCTCAGTGCCCACAGGTGCTGAAGTGCTCAGCATGTCAACCTTTCTGACTCTAGGAGAGGGAGCAGGATCCCAACTAGAATAGGAAAAGATACTCGAACAGCATTGGGCTAAAAGAACATGGTAAACCTCTTAGGGAACGGAATGAAATGATTTTTCTCAAATAACCAACATAAGGATTTGAAAATGAACATCTTTTAGTATTAATTTAATTAAAGCAGCATGCTGCCATTACTTATAAAGCTAGAAGAATCAGTCCGTTTAATGGGTTCTCAGGCTAATCAAAAATTAATTAAGCGTTTAGTGGGGATTCCAAATCCCTGAATTGGATTTAAAGAAGCCTGTTTCCACGTCTTTTTCAAGTGTTGCTTGTTTTACTATAACAGAAGATGTGTTTGATTATTCAGACCATACGTTATCCCTCTCTTGCAGGTGATCAGCCCTGGGATTCGTCCTTGTTAGTTGGGAGCGGCTCCGTTTCCCTGAAAGCAAGCTGAACCGACTCTGGCAATGTATTGCTTAGCTCTCTCCTAGACCTATCATTGATCTCCACACTTTGACTGCAAGGGCCAAGGATTGAGAAATCTACCTTGCATACAGTCGTGTAATTTGGTTAGTGGAGGTTATTATTTTTTAATGGAGAAGCAGCATTATTTCAAGGGAATTTATGACGGGTCAGTGAGGAACTAACGTTGCCTCCATCCGTCTGCCCGTTGGTAGTTGCTCAAGTAAGGGGTCCCCTAAGAAGAGCTGTACATTGTTTCCTTACATTGGGTAGTGAAATGCCAATCTGTATAAGCAAACTATGTTACACCTTTGACCTGTGCACTGGGCATAGACCATTTCCAGGTTTTTGTTCAGCTGGTGCAATGGGAAGCAGTCAACTCTACATCACATGGACACTGATAAAAAGCCAGCCCTGACATACAGAGAACTGTGCCTTTTGACCCATGGGAATCATGTCTGCTCAAACTCCCTTGATTGCCAATGGAAATTCATGATCCAAAACCAAGTCATATTAATGGGAGTCTTCCCACTGGCTCTAATGAGCATTGGAACTAGCTTTTGAAGAAGAAAGTTGTGAGAAGCATGGAGATTTGGGTCTTTGGACCAGACTGGCTAAGCCAGCGATGACTTCCTCTTACCTTAGGGCCCAGTTGGAGCATTTTACATAATAATATTTACTAGCCATGGCAATACGCTTGATGCACACTGAGGGTGTGTTACCTGTCCCAGGTCACCTATAGTCAG